GAGCATAACTTTCGTGCTGCGAGTTGGGGTCAACCTCGATCTGGACGTACGTAAGGGTAAGATGATATACCTTTGCATATTCGATCTATCTTCCCTCGCCACATGTGAGATGGACGTTGTGGGCCTGCACGACCTCACCTTTTTTACAAGCTCGCAGGAGCCACATTCATGAAGCCTCAGGGGCTCGAGGGTAATGTCTACCAACAGGACCCAGTCCGTCTCCAACAGCATGGGCAATTCAGCGATATGTTGAAGTCGCTGCTTGATTATGCTGCTCACGCCAACTGCCGAGACGAGGTAAACAACTCCAAAGACAATGGCAACGAATTGGGTCTTGAGTTGCACGATCAATCACGAGTATCCCGCACCGAGGTCGTGGGCACCACCAGGCACCCCACGCAAGAAACCTTTACATATTGTTCCGTTCTGGGCAGCAGCTCCGACACCACCGTGAAATCCTCCTCCATCGGTCGGAGGTGCGGCTTGAAGATGTTGTCTCCAGCCCATGCGCAATCTTTCCAAGCGGCTTTCAGCTTCTCAGAGCTCACGTCATGTTCGGCAAGCGTGTACAGCTCAGCAGAAGATATTGCATTGGCAATGTGATTACTAGCGCGGAGGGACCAACTGATGATGGTCGCAGATATGATATCGAGATGCTCGGCGCTAGAGGTAAAGAGACTGCTTAGGTTGCATGGGGGCCAACTGCTGGGGAGCCACAAACTTTCTCGGTAGCCTTTGCTGATCATTTCCTGGTGAGAAGGGCCTCGAGCCGCTCCGGGTCTGAGGGTCCAACGGTCTCACAGATGCGCTTCTGCCGAAGTGTTTGAAATCTACAGTCGACCCGCATGGTGAGGATGGGCAACCTTCCCTAGGGTACCCTTGCATCCTTGCCTCCTCGGTCAATCCTTGGCCACTTTCGTCGGCCGCGCCCCGCTCGAGAAGTTCCGACATGGGCGTCCAAGGCCCTTGCGTCTTTATCGCGCATCCTTCTGATTCGGACCAACTGCAGCCTATCTGGCTCGGCGTCCTCGAGTAGCTTTAAGTCGGGCCTGTCCCTCTACAGGAGGAATATTCAAAATAGTAAAAAACATAGTCTGGGGGCGATTTCCCTACTATTGTTGATTATTTTTTGAATTTTGTTAGAATGGTTTCAGCTTTCGCGCAACATCCGCCCGTAGGAGGACATGCCCTACCTAAGAGTAGCTCATCATCGTTATCTGTGGGCCTGTACAGGCACTGCTTCGCCGTCGGCGCGCGGGCGGCGGCAGCAGCAGCACTTTGTAGGCCCCGAGCAGCATCTCTCGAGAGCTTCCGAGCAGCAGGTTGAGTTGAACGAACATTCTTGCCATTCCTCGACGTCATCCCAACATACTATGTACTACGGGTGCGTCGCTCCCCCACGGGCGACGCTCGCACCGAGACATCTTATAGTACATGCGTCGTGGCGGGCGCTTTTTCGGCCTCACCGCTCGGGAAACGACATACCACAATATGGGTTATACTATATGCTCGGGTCGGACACGCGCCTCCAAGGGGGGACATGTAGAGCTGGTGTGTCTCTGTGCGTCCCAATTCCCTGATGGGGAGCTTTCGTGAGATCATCATCGCCGATGACTGCAGCAGCAGTGGGTGGCATCAGTGCGAAGATGAGCCCCTCTTTGCAATCCACGTCCTTGTCCTCCCCCCCCCCCCTCTGCCTCCTCCTCCTCCTCCTCCCTCCTCCTCCTCCTCCTCCTCTCCTCCTCCTCCCCCTCCTCCTCCTCTCATCCTCCTCCTCCTCCTCCTCCTCCTCCTCCTCCTCCTCTCCTCCTCCTCCTCCTCCTCCTCCTCATCCCTGGTCGGCCCTCCTCCTCCTCCTCCTCCTCCCCCCTCATCGGCCAGCGCATGGAGCTGATCATCATCGCTGGCGTGCAGGTTGGCCAGCAGGGCCTCTCCTGGGCCCCCGGAGCCGTGCGGGCGCCCCTCCTGGCCAAGGCCGGGGAGGCGTGGCGCGTGCACCGCTGCTGGATTCCGGAGGGGCCTGACCAGGGAGGAGGAGGAGGAGGAGGAGGAGGAGGAGGAGGAGGAGGGGAGGAGGAGGAGGAGGAGGAGGAGAGGAGGAGGAGGGAGGAGGACGAGGAGGAGAGGAGGAGGAGGAGGAGGAGGCGGAGGCGGAGGCGGAGGCGGAGGCGGAGGCGGAGGAGGAGGAGGGAGGAGGAGGAGGAGGAGGAGGGGAGGAGGAGGAGGGGGGAGAGGAGGGGGAGGGGGAGGAGGAGGCGGAGGAGGAGGAGGAGGAGGAGGAGGAGGAGGAGGAGGATGAGGAGGAGGAGGGGAGGGGGAGGGGGAGGGGGAGGAGGAGGGAGGAGGAGGAGGAGGAGGAGGAGGAGGAGGAGGAGGAGGAGGAGGGAGGAGGAGGAGGAGGAGGAGGAGGAGGAGGAGGAGGAGGAGGAGGAGGAGGGGGAGGGGGAGGGGGAGGGGGGAGGGGGAGGAGGAGGAGGAGGTGGAGGAGGAGGAGGAGGAGGGAGGAGGGAGGAGGAGGAGGAGGCGGAGGAGGAGGAGGAGGAGGAGGAGGAGGAGGAGGAGGAGGAGGAGCATGAGCATGACCATAAGACGAAGTCTTCACAATAAAACCACCTACTGTCCATCTCCACGTAGAAGAGGGAATGGTGGAAGACGTGCACGACCACAACCATAGATATTGACACAAGTTCAGCTGAGGTGAAATCGGCTCGATGCGGCCCATTCATCAATGTGTAACGCACCACAGGCCATCTGGCAACCCCCAAAGGGGATCGCCTCCTCCACAAACAGCCCCACAATAGCAATACAACAGATCGTACCCGCGTGCGCGCACTTGAATTACACTGACAAGGGAGACAACACGCCGACTTGAGTGTATGATGCCGAAACAATAAACCACGTGCTTCACCATTATTGAATGCTAAAGAACAGCGCCGCAATACAAAGATGATCGGAACAACCCTTGCACCCTCAGGTCCCTCGACACGCGGAATACAGACACGACGACACCCATACCTCCAGCGATGCAGCACCATGGCAGCACGAGCACATTGACAAGGAAGCCTGCGCGCCGAAATGTGTAGCTCTGAAGCCAAATCGACTGAACACAGACATTGCCGCGATCTTCACCATTATTGCATGCGATGAGGCGGGCACCAACCGTAAAGAACGATGACGCCCACACCCTCTGCATCCTCGGGTCCCTCGAAACGCGGCCCGCCAGCTCGAAACAGTACGCTCGGGTGCGGGCAGGTGGGTTAGTGCACAACCAGGCTCCCCCCATGGGCCCCGCACCCGAGACGGACAATGAAGAATGTTCACAGGAAAACGGAGAAGAAACCCAAACCATCCTGCTCACGACAGCCGATTCGCTTGAGAATCACCCACAAATACAATAGCACAGCACCTTGGCAGAACAACAAAAACAACATTGAATGAATCCTGACTGCAACACTTCGCCCCGCCCTTAGCCGATCCACGCCTCAAGAAAGAAGACAGAAGGTGCGGATAGCCACAAGCACGCCGCGATGAGGCGGCGGGGCAGGGCCCATGACGCGTTCGAGCCAAACGGATCTACGCGCCTTGGGCCCCATGTGCTTGAGCCAAAATGGCTACGGCGGAGGAGGAGGAGGAGGAGGAGGAGGAGGAGGAAGATGAGGAGGAGGAGGAGGAGGAGGAGGAGGAGGAGGAGGAGGAGGAGGAGGAGGAGGAGGGTGGCTCAAGGAGGAGGCTCGAATCGCCGCAGCCACTGCCCGGCCCGGGCTTCATGGGAGCAGTGGACACGCGCAGACCTCGTCGCCTTAAAAGCAGGGTCGGGTAGAAGGCGCCGCAGGCGGGCCGCAGGAGCTCCTGGCGCGGGTGCCGCTGCTGCACTGGCGCCGGGAGCAAGCGCCCCGAGCTCGCGCCTCCTCCGCTGCAGCAGGCTGCTGCTGCTCCTCGCAGTGCTCCTCGCTGAAGTTGTTCTGGGCGCTTTTGCTGTCATCGTGGGCTTCTCAAGCTCGCTTCAAGTCAGTGGTAGCCTCTTGGGGCGGTGCTTCAGCCTCGGCAGCGTCAGCACGGGCCTGGGCCAGGAACTCTTGCCTGGAGGACTCGTCCTTCCAGGCCGTGCGCTCGCTCTCGGCAGCCTGCTCAGCCTTCTCCTCCAACTGAGTCCGCTTCTCGGCCGCGGCTGCATGTAGCTCGGTGGCCATCGGCGGCAGGGGTGGCGCGGCAGGCGGGGGCAGCGGGCTCTGAAGATGGTCACGCTGATCGGGGAAGGCGGTCTGGCCACCCTGATTTGGTCACGAGGTACGTCAGCTCCAGCCGCTCCATGCAGGTCATGAAGGGCAACAGTGGTCGCCGTAACATCGAGGCACGTGCCTCCACATCTGGAAACAAGTGGTCTGATGCCAGGTGTCGACCTCCCAACAATCACACTTGCTGCACACGCTGTAGGAGTAGTTGCCGCCGTCTTGGTCCCTGCGACCGCCATGGCGACCGTCCAGCACCACGACCTGGCGGTACGCTCCACACCTGGAGGTCCTCGACCCACTTGGTTGCGCTCCACTCATGGGACGCCATGGCAAACACTTGGGCGCTCCTACAAGGGCTCACAGAAAGCGGCTGCTACTGGGGCGGACCAGCCGCAGCTCTGGCCATGGGGCGGACCTTGCGAATCTTGAATACAAGCTGCGGATCATCTGTATCCACTGGGTCTAGAGGGAATCTTACATTCTTCAGCCAGAATCGCAACGGGGGCGGGCGAGGAAGAGGAAACGGTGGGAGGAGGCGGGGGAGGGAAGGAGGGAGCCAGAGAATCCTGGGATAATGCAGCAGTGTGCCAGCCAGCAGCAGAGCCGCAGCCGGACAGGGGGGAGGGAGCCAGAGGAAGCGGGGACGGAGAACGGAGGCGGCGGAAGAGGAGGGAGGCAGGCGAGCCGAGGACGCATTCAGTCTGCGCCGCTCTCCAAGGACAGCCGGCCGCTCGCGCGAGCGAGCGCAGCACGCGCTCGGGCGCCGAGGTGCCCCACATGCACGGGCTGGGCCGCGACAGAGGCCGGCTCCTCGGCCGCCGGCGGGCGCGGCGGCGGCCCTCTGCGAGCTGGGGCTCCCCGGGGGTCTTTTGCCGTGCCGCGGCGCTCGAGGATTCGGGGGGTTGTGTAGGACGATCAATGGAGAGGAAGCGTGTTGCCAAATACTTTCCAGATGTCTGAAACATGTGTTAACCATGTTTAAAGCATGTGCGAAACATGCTTAAAACATGTATAGAGCATTTTCCGACATTTTGAACCGATTTTCAATTCAATGATGGGGCTGTTAGGGTGTCCACTGTCATGGCATCCACAAGCGGAGGGGGAGGGGGAACGAGGTCAAGCAGTGGCGAGGCGTCCTGGCTCGCACTACAGGCCCACCAAGGAGTGCTCGACGAACCTCTCGTGGTCTGCACGACGTGTTCTCAGAACATGTCTGGCCGGGACCGTCTTTCTGATGCATCGGCTTTCTGCTCGGAGAACATTGCTCATGTTATCGGAACAGTCTTCGGCTCTAAGAACATCTCTTCTGGTAGGCCTACAATCAGGAGGGGGAAAAACACACAGACACAATTAACCGTCGATTCCCCAGAGAATATGGGAAACTATGGGAAGTGTGGGGGGGGAAGACGAAAACCCCAAAAAATATAGGAACATATGGGGAATCTTTTTGTTCCCTACCTAGGCTCTGCCTAGAAGGGTTCTTACTCGCTTGGCTTAAAGGGGCCGGGCAGTGCAAACCGCCCCGGGCGGTTCCCCCAGTCCCGTGGGAGCCAAGCAACAGCAACAGCAAAGGTAAAAGCAAACGCGCGGTTCCCCCAGGTGCGCTCCCTGGATGCCAAGCACAAGCAAAAGCAAAGGCAAAAGTGAAGGCAAAAGCGAAGGCAAAGCAAAAGCAAAACCATAGCATAGCATAGCGCAGCATAGCATAGCGCAGCATATCATAGCATAGCATAGCACAGCCTAGCCTAGCCTAGCCCAGCATAACATTGCGCAGCATAGCATAGCATAGCATAGCATAGCATAGCAGATCTGAGCATAGCAGAGCATAGCAGAGCATAACATAGCATAGCGCAGCACAGCATCCACTATTGCTGCTGCTATATATAGATATATTCTATATGTGTGTGTACGCACGTATGTTCCATGCATGTTCTCCGTCTGTGGGCCATCTTGAGCCCTTAGTGGGGCAGCTTGATCCCTTAGGATCCACGAAGGTTTCGCACATAGCACCGGCCGGGAGACATGACACCCGACGTATTATCGCATGCCCTACATGTCTTTCTATATATGCAAATATATGTGTATATATACACATAACACCCATGTGGAGTGCTGAATGTGTGTGTGTGCGTGTGTGCATGGATTTGTTCAGCACCGCGTCGTAATGCCTTTCATCCTCGTTGTCGTCATGCCCCGATCTGCGAGTTGCGGAAGGGGGACCAGTCACGGCGATCTGTGTACTACTGGTTATTCGACACAGTCCCTGCGCGCCAAGAGTGGCTCGGGCGACTCCACGACAGTGGGTAGGTTGTGGTCACACCACTCTGGTGAAACCGCATATTCCAGCGCCGATGATGCCCATCGAAACAATGCTGAACAGCTTGTTGCAACGATCTGGTAGTTGCTACAGCTGTACAGTTTCGTAGGAACGTTCGGTGTAGCAAGTGTTGCGCAACCTTGCTCAATGCCAAGTCGTGCGGAATAGGCCGGATCCAGAGCATTCTCAAGCACACCCGGTGAGCGAATGCAGAAACATGCGTGTGTGCGTGTCTGCGCGCAGGCAAAGCAAAAGCAAAACCAAGGAACGGCAAACAACAAAAACAAAGCAAAGGCAACGGGCGAAACAAAAACAAAGGCAAAGGCAAATGCAAAGGCAAAAGCAAAGGCAAGGGCAAAAGCAAAGGCAATGCAAAGCAAAAGCGCAACCACTGCGAAAGTGTAGATGTATATGTAGATGTAGGTGTAGGTGTACATGTGGATGTAGGTGTAGATGTATATGTAGATGTAGGTGTAGATGTAGGTGTAGATGTAGATGTAGATGTAGATGTGAGTCTCGCTGTTGCTGTAGATGTAGATGTAGATGCAGGTGTAGATGTATATGTAACTGTAGGTGTAGATGTAGATGTAGGTCTAGATGTAGATGTAGGTATCGATGTATACGTGGGTGTATATATATATATATGTAAATAACTCCCCAGTGCCCCGCCCTCAGCTCCTTGCCTGCTTGCTTTTGCTGCTGTCTCGGCGACCTGCTTCCTGCTTCTGCTGCTGCTTCACTTGCGGCGTGGCGTCGGCGGTTCTGGCGCTACTACTACTACTGCTGCTACTACTACTACTACTACTACTACTGCTACTACTACTACTACTACTGCTGCTACTACTACTACTGCTACTACTACTACTACTACTACTACTACTACTACTACTACTACTACTACTACTACTACTACTACTACTACTAACTACTACTACTACTACTACTACTACTACTACTACTACTACTACTACTACTACTACTACTACTACTACTACTACTACTACTACTACTACTACTACTACTACCGCTACTGCTACAACCGTGACGATGAGGAGAATGAGGAGGACGGCGTTTGCCGCTCCTACTAATGTTGCTTTCCTAGAGGGTCCAACTCCTAGGTAGGGTCGCCCTGGGACAATTTGTTTGTATTTATGCGTGCGTCCTGGGGCCCCTTCATACAAGAACAGACGGTCGGTCCCGCTTCAAGGAGTTGGGGAGGAGGTGCCTGCCGGCCACCTCCCGGGGGAACCGCCCTCGTCAGAGAGGCGGCGGAGGTGTCTGCCGGCTCTCGTTCCAGCGAGCTCTCCGCCGCGGGAGAGGCCCGCGCGCGCCCATGGAGGAGGGGGCCAGGAGGAGGAGGAGGAGGAGGAGGAGGAGGAGGAGGAGGAGGAGGAGGAGGAGGAGGAGGAGGTGAGGAGGGGGAGGGGGGGGGAGGAGGAGGGGTGGAGGAGGGGGGGAGGGGGAGGTCTGGAAGGCGCCGATCCTAGCTGTTCCGCCTCGGGGTGGCGAAGAGGAGGGGGATGGGGCGAGGCAGGAGGGGGAGTGGGGGAGAGTGGGGGGTGGGGGGCAGGGAGAGAGAGAGGAAGGGGCGAGGAGTGAATGACGATGCGGACGATGCTGTTGGTGAAGATGGGGATGGTGATGATGATGGTGATGATAATGGTGATGATGATTATGACGGTGAATATGCTGCTGATGATGGTGCTGTTGGTCATGATAATCACGATTATGATGCTGATGGTGATGCTGGCGATGGTGATGATGGTGATGGCGATGCTGATACTGATGATGATGAAGATGACGGTGATGATGATGATGATGGTGATGATTATGGAGACGATGTTGATGATGCTGCTGTTGCTGCTTATGTTGATGCTGCTGCTGCTGCTTTTGGTGATGATGATGACGGTGCCGGGGATGTGGGTGATAACGATGATGATGAGGATACTGATGCTGGTGATGATGCCGCTGCCAGTGATGAGGATGACGGTGGTACTGAAGATGATGGTCATGATGAGAAGGATGAAGATGGTACTGTGATGATGCTGATGGTAATGATGATGATGCTGCTGATGGTGATGTGGTGGTGGCGATGATAGTGATGGTGATGATGAGGACGATGAGGTTGGTGACGATGACGGATTATGCTGATGTTGCTGCTGATGATGTTGCCGTTGATGCCGATGCTCCTGTTCCTTCTGCTGGTGATGATGTTGATGATGACCATGATGTTGATGGTGATCTTGTTGCTTCTGCTGTTGGTCGTGATGATGATGCTGACGATGATGATGAGGATGAAGCTAATGATGCTGTTCTTTTCATGATCGATCCTGGTCATGCTCAGGACGAGGACGACGCTGAGGGTGATACTTACGATGTGATGGTTGTTGTTGATGGTGATGATGCTGCTGATGATGATGACGATGCTGATGCTGATGATGATAATGATGCTGATGCTGATACTGGTGGTGGTGGTGATGCTGGTGGTGGTGGTGGCAGTGGTTACGATGATGCTTTTGCTGCTATGATGAAGGAGACGGGGGAGGAGGAGGAAGAGGAGGAGGATGAGGAGGAGGAGGAGAAGGAGAGGGTGGAGGAGGTGGAGGAGTAGGACGTGGTGGAGGAGGAGGTGGATGAGGTGGAGGAGGAGGTGGAGGAGGGTGCAGCAGATGGAGAGATTAACGAGGCGGCCGACGGGGAGGAGTATCATGGGGCAGGAACAGAAGACGGACGAGTTGGAGGAGGGTGCGAAAGGGGATGATGCTGATGCTTATGCTGCTGTATATGATGCTGATGATGATTATCATGATGCTTGTGATGATGACGATTATGATGATGCTGATGCTGCTGATGATGCTGATGATGCAGATGAGGATGATGATGACGATGATGATGCTGATGATGATGGTGATGATGCTGATTATGCTGATGATGGTGATGGTGATGGTGGTGATGATGATGTTTATGATGATGCACATGATGATGGTGATGATGATGCTGCTGATGATGATGATGCTGCTGATGATGCTGATGATGACGATGATGATGCTGCTGCTGCTGCTGATGATGATGATGATGATGATGATGATGATGATGAAGAGGATGAAGAGGATGAGGAGGAGGAGGAGGAGGAGGAGGAGGAGGAGGAGGAGGGAGGGAGGGAGGGAGGGAGGGAGGGAGGGAGGAGGAGGAGGAGGAGGAGGAGGAGGAGCGATACCGCTCCAGACGCTACGAAGGAGAGTGGGAGAGGGTCACGTTTTTCATTGGTCATTTGTGGCTGCCGGCGGCATTCCAAGAGCGCCGAAACAGGGTGCGTTTCCAAGATGGTTCGCTCAGTGCCCGCAGTGGAACTGCATGCGTGCGGAGCACGCGTTCAAATAAGCACGTGCGCATCCATTCCGTTTGTGGCTGTGATTTTGTCTATGGCAACCATGGTTCCTCCTCCTCTTCTCTTCCTGACCTCAGGCTCCTCGTCTCACCACTGCTGCTCGTACTCCCCCCTGTCGCTCTCTCATCTTTCTCCTTTTCCTCCTTCGCTTGCTCTTTGTTTTCGCCCCTCCTCCACCTCATCCCTCCCAGTCCTCCACATCCTTTCCCTCCCCCCTCACCTTCACTCCTTCCCCACGCCCTTCCCAGCTCCTTACCTCTGACGCCCACTCTCCTTCCCCTCCCCCTCCCCCTCCCCCTCTTCCTCCTCCTCTTCTTTCTCTTCCTCCTCTTCCTCCTCCTCCTCCTTCTCCTCCTCTCTCCTGCTTGAATCTTCGGGGCCTCGGCATCAGTTTCGTTGTTTCACGCACGGCCCAGTTCAACTGTGCGCGTCGCTTCTGTTTCCAAGATGTCTCCCGACTCCCGACCTCTCCGCGTGCCTCCTGATCCCGTGCGGCCCCCTGTCCTCCGCAGTGGACGACGTGTCGAGCACTGCAAACGTCATTCCAGGACCAAGGTCTGAGTCGGCACCCGACTCGGCGATAGGCCACGCAATCAGCGCAGTGGGAAGGGCTGGGCTTGGACGCGTCAGATGCCAGATTTGGCGCGAGCGCATCCAGCTTCCCTCTCTTGTCTCTCGCCGTGCTGTCCCCGCCGCCACGCCAGGTGGCCCCGCAAGCCCCGAGGATGGGGAGGACGCTACCCAGCCCGGTGGGCTCAAGGCCCTCCCGGGGGACACCAGGGTGCCGTGCAGGAGTGGAGGCGAGCGGGAGGCGGAGGCGGACGAGACGCTGGAGGAGGACGAGGAGGAATAGGACGAGGAGCGCTTGAGTCGGAGGCGACGATGGGGTGGAACAGCCAGTGGACGTTACACGTATTCGCGTGGGAGCCGTGCCGAAGGCATGGGCCATCGGCGCCCCTGGATACATGTATTGCTCTCCCCTGGGCTATTCGCCCTCATCGTCGCCCCCGATGGAGACGAAGCTGGAGCTAGGCTTGGCGAGTCTAGGTTGTTCGATAGGAAGCTGGGCCTCCACTTTAGCTTAGCGATGCTCGGCGAACGGAGCGAGAACGTTGGCGTGCGGCCGCTTCGGCATGCACCCCGTGTTTCGGCCGCGGCCCGGGCTACCGTATACTGCAGAGCGCGGCCTCATGCTGAAGACGACATTTGGGGCGCACTTCGAAAGGTTCACCGGGCTTTCGACCATCTCTGCGCCCCCGCCCCATTCCCAAGTACTCCGACACAACACGTGGCTTCGCCTCCAAAGTGTGGTGCGCATGATGTGAGATTGATTCGCGGCAGGCTCGGCGCTCCCTGCGAGCATGATCATGAGGCGCGCCGTGGCTAGCCTGGTTCTCCCAAGTGCCGAGTGTGGGCACATCGTCGGCGAGGCGTGGGCAGTAACACAGATCGTTGCTGGCGCGTTCGAGCTTGCCAGTGGAGGTTCGATCCAGAGCAGACGGGCAGCGGTCTATGTGGGAGGAACGCTGTGCACGAGTCCTCCGTGCTACCTGTTTGCCTCTGCCGTGTCCTCTGTCGGTGCAGACCCTGGCGCTTGGAGCCTGCCTGCAGAAAGCAAATTCTCTGACTCTTTTGCTTGTCTGTTGGGTTTCCCACGCCGCTGCGCAGGGCCCATTTCGATCCAATCGACCCGACTCGATATTGCGAAGGCCTTACGGCTGGTGCGGCCGACCCTGAAGGACGACGACGACGAAGACGACGACGACCACGGCGACGACGACGACGACGATGACGGCGACGACCACGACCACGACTATGGACACGGCCACGACCACGACCACGACCAGGTCCACGACCACGACCACGACCATGACCGCGACGACCACGGCGACGACGAAAAACATTCAAAAACTTAAGCAACATCGTTGATTTTTCCCTCTTGGGGTTCTCTTGGGAGTGCTCTTGGAGCTCTCTCGGACCTCTTGCGACGAAACACCGTCAAAACCTGAAGGAGCATCGTTGATTTTGCCCTCTTGGGATTCTCTTGGGAGTGCTCTTGGAGCTCTCTTGGGCCTCTTGGGAGCCTCTTGGGCTTCTTGGGCGCCTCTTGGGGCCTCCTCGGGGCCTCTTGGGGCGGAAGGCTCGAAATGTAGGTTGGCGTTCCCCCTTTCGGGAGCCTCTTGTGGTCCTCCTCTTGGGGCCCTCTTCGGCCGCCTCAGGGGGTTTCTTGGGCCGTCTTGGGGCTATCTTGAGCAGCCTTGACAGTCTTGGGGCCGTCTTGGGCTGTTTTGGAGCGCTTCCGGGCAGCCTGTTGGGCCGTCTTGGGGGGATTTATGGGGTTTCCTGGGCCGTCGTGGGGCGTCGGAAGCCCGGAAAGGCGAGGACGGGAACAACATCGAAAAACACAGTGACAATCAATGACTCTCTTTTCTTGACTCTGGGGGCTCCTCTTGGAGCCCTCTTGGGGCGTCTGAGTACCTTGGATCGATCTTGGGCTGTTCCATGGTCCTGCTGGAGGAAGCCGCGGTACAAATGAGCTTGAGGCGACTGGGAGGCAAGAAATCGAAGGGGAAGCTTCTCTCACCACTCTGGGACGGGAGCGTGCACAACCCCAGGACCCCCCTTGGGACTCCTCCCGGGACCCCCCCCCGCGGGGAAGAAATCAAATGGAAGGGGTTTCCCTTCGACTCGATGACGACGTTGCTTGAGTTCCATCTGGCTGGAACGCTTGAGGAGGAAGACCCACAGGCAGGGATGAGTGGCGACGGCGACGACAGCGAAGACTCAAACGGAAAAGCCCTCCTCACACACGCCGATAGGGTCGGCGGATTTGGCTGGCCCGATCTGATTCGATATTTGGGCGATGCGATGCGGACCGATATTTACATGTTGTTGTTGCTCTCGCTGTCGCTTCTGTTGTTTTTGTTGATGTTGTTGCTGCTGCCGTTGTTGCGGTTATTATGGTATTTGTTGTTGGTGCTGTTGTTGCTGTTGTTGTTTTGGCTGAGTTCTCATTTCTACAGAAACTATTGTTGATCCACTCCCTCTGGGGCATATGCTCAGGGGGAAGCGGGGGGTCGCCAAACTGTGCCCCCGGCCCCCTGTTTACAACAACAACAACGGCTCCCGCTTGATACCACCGCAAGCTCGTCCTTTCTCGATCAATCGATTGATCAATCTTCGGATCGGCCGATCGATCGGTCATCCTCCTCCTCCTCCTCTGCGATCTCGCGTGGGACTTCCTCGCAATGTATTCAGACGCCGCGCCCTCGACACTCAGGAATCACGCTGTCGCTGTGGACTTCCTCACGAATTATTTCGGGAATCGCGCTGTCGCTCGAGACTTCTTCGCGATTCATGCAGGACGCACGTTTCGGCAACCCGCCTGCTCGACCTGGCCGCCTGGAGCCGCCTTCCCGACCCGACCGTTAGGGTCTGCCCGCCCGATCTGCCTGTGTGGTTCTGCCACGTGTTTTCTGCTCCTAGCCCTCCTCCAGCTACTTTCTCTCGTGCTCCATCCTCCTCCTTCCCCCTTGTCCCTTCCTTCCATCGGTCCTCTTTCCCCCTGCCTCAGGGGCTGCGCGAAATACACGTTGCAGGTGAGACAGATTACCCCTGATAGGGGGGTACGATTGAAGACGAAGAGGGCGGGTATCGAGGGTTTGGGATTTCCGTGTTGACTGGCACGCGAGAAGATAAGAACGAACAGTCTTACAACGATTGTTGTTGTTGTCGTTGTCGTTGTCGTTGTTGTTGTTGTCGAAGCTGTTGTTGTTGTTGCCGTTATTGCCGTTGTTGTTGTTGTTGTTGTTGTTGTTTATGGTGTTGCTGATGTTGATGCAGTTGATGATGTAGTGGTTCTTGTCGTTGTTGTTGTTGTTGCTGCTGCCGTTGTCGTCGTTGTTGTTGTCGTTGTTGTTGCTGCTGCTGTTGCTGTCGTTGTCGTTGCTGTTGCTGTTGTTGTTGCTGGTGCTGTTATTGCTGTTGTTGTTGTCGGATTTTCATTTATCAAGAATAAGTGTTGTTGATCCCCCCTGCCTGGTAACCATGCCATTTGTTTAATCAAAGGGCTTCTTCCTGGGCTCGCACCCTGTTCTTTTATCAGGGAAACCTGGGTGTCACCAAACTGTGCCCCTGGCCCCCGGTTTATAACAACAACGGCTCCCGCTTGATACCCCCACACACTGTATTCCCAAATTGCGCTTTCGCGCGGGACGTCCGCACAATTTACACAGGAATCGCGATCTCGCGTGGGACTTCCTCGCAATTTATTCCGACGCCGCGCCCTCGACACTCAGGAATCACGCTTTCGCTGTGGACTTCCTCACGATTTATTATTTCGGGAATCGCGCTATCGCTCGAAACACTTCCTCGCGATTCATGCAGGACGCACGCTTCGGCAACCCGCCTGCTCGACCTGGCCGCCTGGGGCCTTCCCGACCCGACCGTTGGGGTCTAACCGATCTGCCTGTCTGGTTCTGCCACGTGTTTTCTGCTCCTAGCCCTCCTCCAGCTACTTTCTCTCGTGCTCCATCCTCCTCCCTCCCACTTGTCCCTTCCTTCCATCCGTCCTCTCTCCCCCTGCCTCAGGAGCTGCACGAACTACACGTAGCAGGTAAGACAGATATACCCCTGATGGGGGTACGACCGAAGACGAAGATGGCGGGTATCGAGGGTTGGTGAGATACGTGTTGAATGTCACGCGATCATATAAGAGCGAACAGTCTTGAAGTGATGCTGATTGTTGTTGTTGTTGTTGTTGTTGTTGCTGTTGTTGTTGTTGCTGTTGCTGTTGTTGTTGTTGTTGTTGTTGTTGTTGTTGTTGTTGTTGTTGTTGTTGTTGTTGTTGTTGTTGTTGTTTTTGTTTTTGTTGTTGTTGTTGTTGAACATTTAGCTCGAACGAAAATTTGTTGTAGATCCTCCCTCTGGTAACCATTCTAAGTTTTAACTGAGGTGCCCCCCCTCGGGGCTCGTACCCCATTGTTATCAGGGAAAGCTTGGTGTCACCAAACTGTGCTCCCTGGCCCCCGGTTTACAACAACAACGGCTCCCGCCTCACACTTCTTCACAATGTATTCCCAAATCGCGCTCTCGCGCGGGACTTCCTCACAAGATCGCGCTCTCGCGTTGGACTTCCTTGCAATTTATTCAGACGCCGCGCCCTCGACACTCAGAAATCACGCTTTCGTTTTTGCTTTCTAATCAATTTCTTTGGGAATCGCGCTATCGTTCAAGACGTCCTCGCGATTCACGCAGGACGCACGCTTCAGCAACCCGCCTTCTCGACCTGCCGGCCTGGGCCCGCGTTCCCGACCTGGCCCGTTAGGGTCTACCCGCCCGATTGGTTCTGCCACGTGTTTTCTGCTCCTAGCCTCCCTCCTACTAATCCCGTGCTCCATCCTTCTCCCTCCCCCTTCCATCCGTTCTCTCTTCCCCTGTTTCAGGGGCTGCACCAATTACTTGCGGCATGTAAGATAGATACACCACCAGGGGGGTACGATCGAAGACGAAGAGGGCGGGTATCGAGGGTTCGGGTTTTTCCGTGTTGAATGGCACGCGAGCAGGTAAGAGCGAGCAGTCGCACAATGGTTGTTATTATTATTATTATTATTATTGTTGTTGTGCATCCGGATGCAGCCGATACGATTCGATTTCGATCCCGTGCCGATGCAGCCCGATTCGACGCACGTTCCGACCCGATCCGATTTTCCGATTCGGGGTTGCCTGATCTTGCTGCGTGCACGGGCTAGTGTCCTTGCT